AAAAAAAAAAAAAAGAAAAAGAAAAGAAATGGTGTGACAAAGGATAAACAAAGACAGCAACATAGATACTATGTTGAAAATGAATGACTTGTGGGTGGGAATGAGAAGGAAAAACTATGAGTGAGCAAAGGAATCAGGGACATTGTCCCAAAAGAAATGTACTCTTTCCCTGACTTATGGAAGCATAGCCCCGCTGTTCATCACCTTTATAATAACAATAAATAAATAAAAATTCATGCGAAGGAATAAAACCTGTAACATTGCAACATGAATGTGTTCTCTAACTTAGATTGCTCATATTTGAAGTAATGATATCCAAAGCTCAACTCAACACTGAGATGCTTGTTGGAATATGAGAATTTTGTGAGAAAGCTTTAGAAACTCCTTGAAAGTGTATTTTCCACTGATGACACTAACAATGAATACGTCCAGACAGTACAGACAGACAGCAGTTCCTGGGGAGAGGGCGTAATTAGCTCTATTTTACTCAGCAAAATGACAGATGCTATTCACAAGCAACCCCACTGGGATTTGAATCTAAGCAGGTAGCCTCTGAAATTTATCTTTCTTTCCACTAACTTCTGCTACAACCTCAAAGGCCAAAACAACAACAACTGTACCGATTTGGGGGAAGAGTTTCAGCCATACAGTATTCATGAAGAAACAATTAAGGTCTTTAATTTTTTTTTCACAGCTGGTTGGAAACAAACCAGATTTGAATCTAGAGACTATCCAGCCTTGCACGTGACTTGGACAGTGACCCAGCATTCACTGGCGTTGTATTCAGCGACTTCACCATTTGCGGGTAAAACTGATCTGCCCAGTTGGTTAACTTTGTGCCACCCTAGATCCTTCCAGGAGACAGCGCCCTGAGTCTCTGCTTCTTCCTCACCCTTCATTTACCAAGAACATTCTGACAACCAGCGTGGGTACACACGCCAAGCAGGAGCAGTTCCCTTCTCGGCTGATGTGTGTTCGCCAAGGCACATAGCTTGAATGTTCAGAAGCCACTTGCTAGCAATTGCTAGGGGCTTAGTCTACTTCAGCGTCAACAAAAGCCAAGCAAATACCCCTATCTCAATACAGAGCTGGTCCAATACAAGACCCATCTGTGATCCATGGAATTCCTATTAAGTTGCTATGGCTTTTTTGATCTGACTAGCAGCCATGGGAATTGGGGACCCAGATTACCTGGATCTTGTTAAAGCACGAAGCTTCCATCTGGCTGGGTTATGTTGGCCCAAGAGGTGGTCTGTCTCAATGCCAAGGGCAAGAGTTAAGGTAAGTGGAGTTTAAATGGGAGGGGAAAAATAGATGATGTCACCATCTCTATTTAGAGAGGAGATGGAAACACTACCCTCTGAAATGCAGGAGGTGACCAGGGTGTTGACCTTGGCAGTTATCGACTAATATGAAACCTGGAGTGTGAAGTAGGGGGAAGGGATTTTACAAAGTGACTTGCAAGGAAGGAAAAAGCAAAGAGGCAGAGTCACAATGTGACATCCAGACATTCCACTCTCACTGAGGTTGGAGCCAAGTCACTGCCCTGTTCAAAATAAATCCTTAAAGCACACAACGTGATCAAAGAAATCCAGCCATAACTTAGAACCCAACATGACATTTGTTGGGAATACCCTGCTGGTTAACATGTTAGGTGTGCTACGTTACTCATGTGATCTCCACAATGATCATGGACCAGAGACTTTAGAAAACAATTTAACTAATAAGGTAACATGGAGCTAGGCGTCAATGGCTCTTACACCTAGCGACTCAGGAGGCTGAAAACCTGAGGATTGTGGTTCAAAGCTAGCACAGGTAGGAAAAGTCCATGAGATTCAGACCTCCAAGTAACCAGCAAAAAGCCCAAAGTGGAGATGTTGCTTAAAAGGTAGAGTGCTAGTCTTCAGCACAAAAGCTTAAGGACAGTGCCCAGGTCCTGGGTTTAACCCCCGAGACTGACACAAAAAGGAAGGGGGAGAGAGGAGGAAAGAGGGGAAGAGGGAAAGAGGAGGGGAGAGGGATGGAAGGAGGAGGAAAGGAGGAGAGAAGGGGAGGGGTAGGGGAAGAAGTAAGGGGAGGGGAGGAGAGAGGATGATAGAAGGGGTGATACTGATCAAGCTGCATTGTACTCATATACTGAGGAGTTGAATTAAAACCCCTTTGTATAACTAAAGATAAAAGTAATGATAATAAAAAGAAGGTACCATGGACATGAAATGGGCTTGCTTCTTCTTGAAACTTATGGTTTTTTTCTCCTCTGTGACCGTCTTCCTGACTCATTCTCTCTATCCTGAGATTCTTGTTAGTCTGATGTAACCAGCCAAGTCACCTCTGAACCACCAGCACAAGTGACAGAGAATAACAGGCTTAGATTGCATGCTAGCAGGACCCTCACTGTCCCCTGATTCTTTTTGGCCCTTTCTTGGGAAATGCTTCAGTGTGTGTGTGTGTGTGTGTGTGTGTGTGTGTGTGTGTGTGTGTGTGTGTGTCTTTCTGGGCAACCAGCAGCCTGATTGGGTCCCACCTCTGACCGTTCCTTCCATCCTACAAAGATGGCAGCCCGGGTCCTCTGTCAGCTAATTCCAAGTCTTCTACCCCGGCCATGTTCCCATCCACATGCAGTAACGATGTCCAAACTTTTACTCCTGCCTCAACAGCTGAGTAAGAAATTCATGGGGCTATTTTTGTCTTTCATCTCCCCTTTTGGATGTGCTTCCCTGAGACTATGTGGTTAACAGATCAGAGAAACACTCATTCATTCAACAGGAGATGTTCTAGGTGCTGGGGGTAGAACGATAATTAGCATCTTGCCTTTTAGTACCCTAAGATTCTGCACACCTCTGACAATGAGCAGGGCCTGGTGACAGGCCTGAGTCTCTGGGCAGGGACATTTCTCACTCTCTCAGGTGTGAGCTCCCAAGTGAGCAAGCCAATCTCTGACAGTGTGGCTTGGTTCTATTCTCCTTATTCCTACGTTTTCTGGGCTATTTTCTAGAAGTTTCTCTTTAGAAAACATTATTGTGTTGTCCTTGATCTATCCTCTTTGGGGAAACCAGATTCTATTTCATAGGGGCCAGATGCCAAGAAAGGAATCCCAGGACAGCCTGTCGCCTGGGCTGGATGAACCTGTTAGTGTTGGCTGAGCAGCCGGCATCATAGTGAAGTAGAGTCAGCAGTGAGAAACACTTTGCAAGCAAGAGTCTCAGGCAGCCCGCAACCTGCGATCCATGGAATTCCTCTTTCTCTGGGGTTAAAAACCCATTGCAAGTGGGAGGAGCTGTGGCTCTTTTACTCACTGTCAATTCTTAGTCGTTTTCAAAGTTACGATGCACCTGTTCCTCAGACACTGTGCCAGAGCTCCAGAGCAGCCGGAGGCGGCGGAACTTGACCCTCTGGTTAATTTTCACAATGTTAGAGTCACCTTTGCTCAGCACCCCCGTCCCATGTTTTCACTCTGTCTGGAAATTTCTGAATTCTTACACAAAGTGATCAGAAGGTAGTCCCTGCTTCTTAGGGTTTAACTAGACAGTTCCAGAAATGACAAGAACCGCGACCATATGTTAATCTACTTTCCACTGGAACATCTATCAACTGTATTTGCTCCTTGGAATCAAGACAGAAGTTCCTATGGAAAGAAACATTCAGCTAGCTCGAAATGATTATTTATCCCCAGAGAACTGCTCAGATCCATGAGATTTTTACAGCCCAGGACATGAGCTCCAACAAGCAGTATGGAAATAAGCACGCTCCGGAAAATAAACTAGAAGGCTAGAATAAACACACCAGACAAACCACAAAAACCAAACTGGGCAAGTGTATCAGTGAAAGTTGAACAGGTACCTGACAACAGTGTCCCCAGGGTGGGAATTCCTCTCGATTAAATTACTTACCCATACAAGTGGAAGTCCCCTTCCCCTCGGCAGGACAGTTCCAATGCTGTTGGGCTGAGACAGTTACAAAACTACATGGAACCACTACAGGCAACAGAAGGCTAAGTGAAAGCAGCATAATCTTGCTAAGGCTTCGATCTTCAATAGAAAAGAAGTTGAGTGTGCTCAAGCGCACCCCAGGCGAAGTGACTATATCTCACTCCCAACTGGTCAGGCGTTGGCTCTGGGGACATCTTTTATTTTGCTGTTTTGCCTCCACCTTCTACTTCACCTTCTGGGAGCCTCCAAATGCAGCTTTGCAAACGCTCCAGGAGATTTCCTTATCTGAAGTTTTTCTTGGAAGCCATTTAGAAATACCTGACACCCTTGTGACAGATTTCACAGAGTTTAACAACCATACTCTGTAGGTCTGACTTTGCTGTGACAGGCACCGGCAGGCAAGCCAGAGAGAGAGAATGAGAAAGAGAGAGAAAGAGAATGAGAGAGAGAGAGAGAGAGAGGAAATAAAGGGAAGAATTGGTGGAAAGTTCCAGCCACGACCCTGATATGGGGACTAGGGAAGAAATCTGCAGATCGGATGGCTCCTCAAACAGAGCTTCTCTTTTTGAAAAATAGAACTGACTCCTCTTTCCTTTTTAAAGCTCTCTAGACTCCTCCCCCTCTCCTTGAGTGACACTTGAATGAGTCTCTGTTGGCAAATGTGAATATGGCCAACTCTTCAGAACAGGAAAGCAGAGCCAGCTGCCAGAAAAGAGATAACTGCTACTCACCATAAATATTCACCCAGACCAGGGAGAGAGCAATTAAGGGGGCTGTGGAGAAGGTAATGGTATCTTGGAGGTAACCTGCTGAATATTGGCTGTGTTTTAATATCTTGAAGGATGGGAAACACAACTAAACCATGCAACTGATAAATCAGTGGCGAGCAACACTGCTGATAATTCCAATGTATAACAATTGATTGCTCACATGAGCCATACAGAAGATAATTCCCCTTCAGCTCATAATTTAATGAAATGTCAACACCAGCGCTGCATTCCTGGAGCTTAATCTTTCTCTTTCCCTCCTGTGTATTTTATAGTGGAATTTGAATGATTATTCTTTCCAAATCAAAGGGAAATCCCTGAAGCCAGATGGAAGAGACGGCATGTGCACAGATAGCTTTTCTTTCAGCGTGAGTATAACAATACATCAAGAGGGGCCAAGAGTGCAGGGAAAGGAGTGGGTTGTTATTATAGAAGCATGTTGGGGGAAAATAAGCTAATAGTGTGAAAGTTAGAAAGCCTGGGGAATCCAGCATGGCTAGATGAAATCGCTTCTCAGATAATTTAAGGCATCTCATCACATCTTAGTCCTAGAAAAGGAATGCTTCACCATCCATTATCTGTCTCTTCCACCACTCTCTACTTAAGACAATCTCTGAAACCTCCAGTCCTGTCAGTCCATCTATAGCAGAGATGATGACAGTGTAAATTACTATCAATTTAACTGAATCCTAGAAAACACCCTCACTTAAGTTGCTTTGAGGTAATGTTCATATGCAAGTCAAAAATGCAGACAAACACAGACATAAAAGGACAAAGGATGAACAAATGAAGCAGTCTTACTCGCCGGACACTATGTTGAAAATGAACTATGCAACTTGTGGGTGAGGGCAGAAGGGAAAAACTGGGAGAGAGAAAAAGAAAGGGGGCATTGTCCAAAAAGAAATGTGCTCATTACCTGACTTATATAACCGTAATTCCTCTATGTATCACTTTTCTAAAAACAATTTAAAGAAGAAAATGTAGACAAAGCAATAATTAGAAAAATAGCCATGAGCTGGTAGCTCACACGTGCTAGCTACTCAGGAGGGTGAAATCTGAGGAGAGAGATTCCAACACAGCACAGGCAGAAAAGTCCCTGAGACTCTTATCCAATTATCCAGAGAAAGGCTAGAGGTAGAGCTGTGGCTCAAGTGGTGGAGCACCAGCCTTGAGCAGAAAAAGCCAAGAAAGAGTGAAGCCCCATGTTCAAGCCCAGTACCAGCACAAAAAGAAAGGAAAGAAGGGAAGGAGGGAAGAGTAGGAAGGAGGGAGGGAAGGGGGAAGGAAGGAAAGAAGGAAGGAAGGAAGGAAGGAAGAAAGGAAAGAAGGAAAGCCGGAAAGAAGGAAGGGAAGAGGGAGGGAAGGAGAGAGGGAAAGAAAAAGAAAGACGAAGAGCAAAGAAAGTCATACTAGTGGACACTCCTTGTAAAGAAGTACAAACAACTCTTAAGTCCTTTGCTCATAATTAATGTGTCCTCAGGATTTCTCAAAGACAAATCGTTAAGTCATGATTTCTCCTTATTCAACCAGTTTCTGACCCTGTATAAGGAGAAACAGACCCTGAAGGGGCAACAGAAGTCACATGGATGGGTGTATGGAATATTCTATTGCATTCCAGACTCATGCAGACTCAAGATTCAGAATGAGAGTCCTACAAATAACCTGTACCAACTATTCAAATGACTAACCTGCTTTAATATGCTTCCCCTTCAGCAAATGGCATTGCCAATGTCATAGCGGACAACAGGGGAAGGGACTAAGCGCACAGTGCAGCATGGAGCTGTGTGTGTGGAGAGGAGGGGGGAGAAGGATGTAAACAGACAGGCAACAATCCACAATCACATCCTAATTAGATGTGGAATTCTTCGTGATATTTTGATTGTAGAAAGGTTTGCTTGCCTAATTACACTTCACCTTGGCTAATGTTATCATTAATTTTGAACCTTAGCATCTCTGTAGGAGATGAAGGAGTCCACAGGGGTATAGTAGATGCCTCAACGGATGGTTGATATGATAAATCAATGCGTCTAATTCACAGATCTATAGCTATCCAGATAGTGAAATCACAGAACTGTGCTATCCAACTAGAAAAGGCTTCCAGAGATAATTAGTAAGTCCAGAATTATTACTTCTAGATAAAACTAATTTTTTCGTCCTGGGCAAACATCCTCTTTATTGTAAAGTTGACCAGAAATCCAAATGACAAGAATTGATTCAAAATGAGAACTGTTTCAAAATGAATTGCTCAATTCATCAAGCTCTATACGATAGGGTACTGTTTGAAATACAGGAAACAGAAGTGGAACCAGAGGTGGTGGTGGTCCTAGAACTCAGGAGCTCAGCCAGGAGGCTCACAAGTTCCAAATACCCTGGGCTGCACAGCCAGATCCTGTGACAAATCCATCCCCAAAGTCACAGATGTGCTGATGGTCCTTAACTTCAACACCTTGCTAAAGGTGATTGTCAGTAACAATAAAGAAGGGTATATGAACATGTTGCACAAGGCCAGTCACCATGTATTCTGGGGGTGTCAGAAAAGAAAGGGAGTACAGTGAACGCTGAACTGGGATGTGTAATGCAGACAACAGGAAATAAAACAGGGAAAGACTTGCTTATTTAATTTATCCCCAGACATTTTGGGGGCACAGTCGGGATGGGAAAAGCCTGTTGACAGGTCAGTAAGAGAGTTGGATATCAGTGGCAAGGAGACAGCCAACGACTGCTCTTCAGTAAGAGCAGGCAGATAGCTGAAGGGAAGGGAGGCTGTTGGGAGTCATGGTTCCTCTCCTAACCTTTAAGATTAAATTCCCCATCAAAACATCATCAAATGCTGTATGCATAAACTTGTTCTACTACCTGAGAAATCAGGTCTATAAGGCCTTATGAAACAAAAATCTATGATTTTTTAATAGAAACAAATAGACAGACAGACAGACAGACAGACAGACAGACAGACAGACAGACAGACAGACAGATAGATAGATAGATAGATAGATAGATAGATAGATAGATAGATAGATAGATAGATAGATAGACAGACAGATAGATAGATAGAGCCTTTCTCACAAGTCAGGAGAAATGCCTGACTTGAAATCAGGATGCAATTTCTCTTATAAAAGCAGCTTAGCAGCAAGATACTCAATATGAAAACTTGTTCTACTACTTGAAATTGGGCCCATGTTTAAAACTATTTTGAAGCAAATAAAATAAATGAAAGAAAACCTTATCTATGCTCAGCAGCTCTGGTTAATCATCACCAGCACCACACCATCGACATGCTTCCAAGATGCCAGACATCCAGAAAACAGGTGCTTTTTTTCCACACCATCTCTAATCTTCAATACCACCTTGCCAAGGGTAAAAGTCCGCCACCCCCACATCATCAAAAGGACAGAGAAGATCAGAGAGGCTGAATACAGGCTCACTGGCTGGGGGCTAGGAGCTAATTTTTGGTCAAAGCCTAGAAAGAAACACTGGTTTTAATAACATTCAGATTCTGAACAGAACCTGAAATCTGCCCAGAGCACTGGAGTTGCTATGCACTACATGAACTTAAATACTATTTTCTGTACACTAGTAGAAATAATGATCATTGCTTACACATCTTCACTGGGCCTTAAATTGAATGAGTCTTTTACCTCATCTTCCGCCTCCAAGGACTGAAATTAAATAAGTGAAAGCAATCAAGGTATATCACTCAAAATTGGAAAGACATAAAATAGATGGTGGAGAGAAACTATTTGGGTAATTTATTTTTAAAAGTTCAAAAACCAGAGAACTGAAATGTTAGGTTGCTTTTTCCAGTTAAGCTTCCCATGAAGATGCATTCCTTTTTATTAAAATAAATTTTACAGGAACTGAGTAGATCTTAAAAGTACAATCAGATAAGTTTTGATTTTTAAAAAATTACACAAGCTCAGAGATATGCAGAAATTAGATCTCAAATACACTGAGATATGATAAATTATACAAGATTCTAGATACTCACCCACAGTGAGACCAAAAGAGGATACCCTTAGGAGAGAAACACAAAGATGCAATGCCTAAGGGCCTCTTCATATTTACATAAAATTATATATACAAATATATATATATGTATATATATATGGAAAAAACTCCAAGATACAGAAACAAGTGACCTCTTTTTTTTTTCTTTCTTACTTTTTTAAAGTTTTTGATGATTCTGTCTTTTTTATCTTGTGTATGGTGTATTCAAGTGTTCATCTTCAGAAGAGTTATGGGAGGGAAAAAGGGTGAAAAATAGCAGCAGTGGAACTTCCTGGACACTGATGAAAGCAACTCATTGGTAGAGACAGGAGGGAGGGACTAAGAGAGAATGAGGGAACAGAAGACACTGTACAAAAGAAAACGTACTCATTACCTGAGTCATGTAATTATAATCCCTCTATATAGCACCTCTATAATACCAAAAAATGACACTTGAACCAACATCAGTCAAATTCAGAAAGTTTCTCTTTTTTTGGTGGGGGGGTCTGGTTGTGGGGCCTGAACTCTGGGCCTGGGCGCTGTCCCTCAGTTCTTCAGCTCAAGGCTAGCGCTCTCCCTCTGGAGCCACAGTGCCACTTCCAGCTTTTTCTTTTTGCTTATGTGGTGCTGAGGAATCGAACTCAGGGCCTCATGCATGCAAGGCAAGCTATCTACCCCTGAGCTGCTTTCCCAGCCCAGAAAGTTTCTCTTATCATCAGAAATGTCCCTATGAATCCTTTCCCTAGGCAACAATTGTTCCTAATTTTCTCATAGATAAGTTTTGTATGTTTTCAAGCTTTATATAAATGCAGTCATATAGTACAATCAATTTTATGTCTGTCTTCTTTTGTCCAGGATAATGGTTTTGAGATCCTTCATCTTTTTTTTGTATGAACCATAACACAAACTATTTGTCCATTTTCTTGTTGATGGATCTTTGGATTGTTTCCAGGTTTGGTCCCATTTCTGTTCAGTTAATAGGTAATTGCTGGTTCATAGGGAAGTTCTATGTTTAACTTTCTAAGAAATTGCCAAACATTTTTCCAAGGTGATTGCTCTGTTTTGTACATTTCTCTCCCCAGTAGTGAACAAAGTTGTCTCACATCCTTCCCCAATTTTCATGTTCACAAGCTTTCTAACTTTAACTCATTCATGTGAGTAACAATATTATGCTGCAGAGATTTTTGTTTTGGGGTTTTTTGAGGTTTTTTGCTGGTCCTGAGGCTTGAACTCTGGGCCCGGCCCCTGTCCCTGAGCTTCTTTTTTGAGTAGTTTATTGGAGATAAGTGTCTCCAAAGTCAAGCACTGGTGGCTTATGCCTGTAATCATAGCTACTCAGGAGGCTGAGATAAGAGGATCATGGTTTAAAGCCAGCCCAAGTAGAGAAGTGCATGAGACTCTTATCTCCAATAAACCACTCAGAAAACCAGAAGTGGGGCTGTGGTTCAAGTGGTAGAGTGCTCACCTTGAGCTGAAGAGCTGAGTGACTGCGCCCAGGCCCAGAGTTCAAGCCCCACTACCAACAACAACAACAACAAAAGAGTCTACAAGACCTTCCTGCCTGGGCTGGCTTTAAACTGCAATCCTCCGATCTCAGTCTCCTGAGTAGCCAGGATAACAGGCGTGAGCCACCACACCCCAGCTGTTGCCGTTTTAATATGTTTTTCTCTCAGGAGATAGTGGTGACTACCTTTTCTCATGTTAATTGGTTATTCACAGTTCCTTTTCCTGAGAAATATATTTAAATTGTGTGCCCCTTTTTATGAAAACTTGTTATACGTTTGACAGTTTGTTATTGTATTATCTGTTGAAGTTCTTTATGTATATGTTGGATTTAAATCTTTTGTTGAATCTATGTATGGAAAAATTTTCATCCCAGCATGTGGTTTATCTGTTTTCTGAACAATGTCTTTTGATGAGTAAAATACCTTAATTTTGGTTTTGAGATCCATCTGAGTTATATATAATGGTACTTCTTTTATTTATCTATTTATTTTGCTTCTAGGAAATATTCCTTTGTATGAATATAACACAATCTGTTTATCCATTTCTTTGTTGATAGATCTTTGGATTATTTCCAGGGTTGGCAGTAAAAATGTGTTCATTTCAATTCAGTTAGTAAGTACTTGCTGGTTCATAGGGTAGGTATATGTTTAACTTGCCAAATAATTTTTCAAGATATCTGCTCCATTTTGTACATTTATAACTTTATAAATTTAAAATATTTTCCTTTTATGGTTAGCTTTATATATGTATATACTCTCACTCAGAAATCATTACCTATATCAAGCTTTCAAATATGCTTTCCTATTTTTCCCTTGAGAACTTTTAGAATTTAAGTATTTATGGTTAATCTTAATATTTGTTTATTATATAACATTAGAATTCAAGGTTAGTTTTCTTTATATTCATATACAATTTTTCCAGTATCAATTATGAAGAGAATTTTCTTTTTTCTTGAATTTTGTTGACAGTGTCATTTAAAAATGAGCATTGAATCCCCCCCAAAAAAATGAAGGAAAAATGAGTATTGAATTATCTGTTATTTCTAGAGTTATTATTTTATTGATCCCTTTGCCCTTTGATTATTTCTGCTTTGCAAGAACGCTATTCTTACATTCTGATAGGGTACATCCTCCAAGTTGTCTTTCTTGTTTGATTGTTTTATTTTGTTTGGTTTTAAGATTATGGATTATTTGTACTTCCATATGAATTTATAATTAGCATGGTAACTTCTACCAAAAAATTGTTTTGACTCCAATGTCATTGACTCTATGCAATGTTAGAATTGACATCTTAACAATACTGGATCTCCTAATCTATGAACAAAATATATTTCTCCACTAATTTAGGTCTTTAGTTTCTCCTATCAATGTCTTTGACTGTTAAATGTAAAGCTTTGCATATTTTCTGTTAAATTTATTTTATGTTTTAAATGCTACGTATAATAAAATTCTATTTCTTTTTCCAGTTCTCTGCTGATCTCTTATAGAAATAAGACTAATTTTACTCGTTGGACCTTTTATCTTTTTACCTTGCTAAATATTTTATTGTGTTTAGAGTTTGGGGATCTAAAGTCTAATATTTCTCTGACATATGAGGTAAAATGTTAATATATGTATATATAATAGGATGAGATATCGTATCAAATATCAATCTCACATAACAGCTCTCTTTACATCATTCCAGACTCATTACCAGAAGGCTGAGGAAGGAAAGCTCTTATCTAGCCTCTATGAACATGTTATGGAAGGTAAATCCTAGGGTTAGCAAAGTTAAATATCGGTCCCAAAGGCTCCTAGCTATTAAGTAAAGAGTTGATTTGTAAAAGCCCAACCCTGCCTGTCTTTCGAGCACGTGTTTACACTCCATTCCCAAGGGCACCTTTCATCTCACTCATAATGCAGAGATGACTAACCAGCCCCCATGCCTGCTTAGGGCCAAGACAGCAGCTGGAAAAGATGAGGCTTCGCATGCATTCTTCTGTCTTTTACCAACTTCGTTGGCATCTTCCCTATATGTGCTAGCTTTGAGTTGAAGAGCTGAGGGACAGCACCCAGGCCCAGAGTTCAAGCCTCACAACCAACAAAAGAAAAAAGAAAAGAAAAGAAGAAGTACAGACTCTCAGGCCCTACCAAGATTTACCATATAAGAATCCACACTACATAAAGATTCCAAGGGATTCACATGCCTGTTAAATTTTGAGGAATGTTGGTAGGTCAGATAACTACAGGCAAGTGCTGCTTCTTCTAAATTTCCACCGCTAAGGTCACTATGGCTACTGATTTAACTTTATGTCATTGAAAGAGTTAGTTCTCACGTAGGTCACCTGAGGTTTCAGTTTCCTTGGATCCATCCAAGTATTCATCTGAGCCTTTGCATGAAATGTATCTTGGTCACACTAAGCCGAGAATAACAAAATAATACAACTCTGGCATTATGTCGATGCAACTTCTATGTGCAGTGTATTTTAAACTACCCATCAGATTCTGGTTTCTTTATTAAAGGAAAGTTTCATTGTTTTCAAGGAGTTAAACCCAGCTATAATCTTCATTTTATTTTTAATCTCCTCAAATACAGGATATGATGAAATGTGGAAGTTGCAACCTCAATTCTACCATATACAGAGAAAAGAAGCTTTGGAATGATCATACCTGAGGCTCAGGCTACAGTTTATCTGCAATGTAACTTCTCAATGGGAGCATCTAATTCACAATCAAAATAAGCAGAACAGAAGTATGTGTGTAATTACTTGGAGAGACGTTGGCACAATTCCTATACTATATTCTAACTGTGTATTAAGGAATATGTGGTTTGCTTCCCACCAGCTGCTAAGTGCTTAGTTTTATATAACATGTATGTTGGTCTTCTATCAAAATAAATCTGACCTTTAAAAGCCAACTTTCATTTCATATAACCCTTCCAGGAAGCAATTTGGCAGCACTCTCCAGAGGCACAAATATATTTATAGGCGTTGACCATTTAATCTTACTCTTGGCAATTTCTCCCTAAAGGAATACTGTCTTTACTGGAAAAAAAGAATTTATACGGATACCAATATGTACTGTGGTATTATTCATTGTAGCAAAATAACCAGAGTTTTCATTCATTTTCATTTTAAGTAACAAAAGTTATTTAAAAATATTCTAAGAGGGCTGGGAAGGTGGCTCAGTGGTAGAGCGCTTGCCTTGCATGTATGAGGCCCTGGGTTCGATTCCTCAGCACCACATAAGCAGAAAAAGCCGAAAGTGGCGCTGTGGCTCAAGTGGTAGAGAGCTAGCCTTGAGCTGAAGAGCTGAGGGACAGCACCCAGGCCCAGAGTTCAAGCCTCACAACCAACAAAAGAAAAGGAAAGAAGAAGTGCAGACTCTCAGGCCCTACCCAAGATTTACCATATAAGAATCCACACTACATAAAGATTCCAAGGGATTCACATGCCTGTTTAATTTTGAGGAATGTTGGTAGGTCAGATAACTACAGGCAAGTGCTGCTTCTTCTAAATGTCCAGAAGAACTTCCCAAAGAGCTTTAAGATTTGGGGAAATCTTTGGCATAGAGGCTTTATAATCCATTAAAGCAATATCCTTTTCTCCCTCCCAATGGCTTAGTCACTTCTATATTGCTATAACTCATTGCATTCGACTGGATAATTTATAAAGACAATAAGTGTATTTCTTATAGTTCAAGTCCAAGAGCCCTAGCATCTTCTATGAAGACTTCCTGGCTGTGCCATATCATGACCAAACAAGCATGCTAGCTGGCTATCTAGCTCCATGATGGCACTAATACCATCATAGGGTTCCCTCCCCTCTGGATCACTAATCACAATTACCACTGCAAGGCCCTACCTCTTCAGACTGCTAACATAGCAACTTATGAATTGAGTTGCCAATACAATGACATTTCATAACACACCTAAACCATATAAGCCCCTATAACTTCTCCAATCATTTCTCTTTTCTTCCCTTTGCTTTCTTTCCTTCTTTCTTTCTTTCTTCCTTTCTTTTTTCCTTTCTTTCCTCCTTCCTTCTTTTCCTCCCTTCTATCCTTCTTTCTTTTTTCTTCCTTCCTTCCTTCCTTTTTCCTTCCTTCCTTCCTTCCTTCTTTCCTTCCTTCCTTCCTTCCTTCCTTCCTCTCTCTTTCTTTCTTTCTTCTTTCTTTCTTTCTTCCTTCCTTTCTTGTGCCAGTATGGGCTTACCCTCAGGGCCTGGGCACTGTGCTTAGTTTTTTCACTCAAAGCTAATGTCCTACCAGTTGAGCCCTATCTGCACTTCAGACTTTTTGGTGATTAACTGGACACAAAAGAGTCTTTCTCAGATCTATCTGCCCAGGCTGCTCTAAGCCAAAATTCTCAAGTCTCAGCCTCCTGAATAGCTAGGATTACAGGCATGAGCCACCAGCACCCAGCCAAAATATATTCTTTTAAACAATCTTGAAGGGTCTGGCTTTAAACTTCATATCTGTATTGTCCATTGTTGGCAAGTTCATTTTTATCTACCACACCACAGATTTTCAAAATAGGGAGAAAAACACAAAACCTCAACAGGATCATTTTTCTCAGACTTTCTCCAAAATTATTCAAGAAAGTAGATGTTTTCTTAACATACTGAATAAAATTAGATATGTTTGGGGGATACTCTTGCTTAATCAGTGCCATTTTGTATTATAAAGTTGTATTTCTCCCTTACTTGGCTATTTCCTTTTCTATTTTATTTTTTTTCAAGAGTTTGTTTGGATTTGACCCAACACCTCGTCTCTAGATCTATCTTTTTCACTGTAAACAGTTTGTTGTTGTTGCTGTTATTGTTGTGCCCACCCTAGAGCTTTAGGTCTGGGGCTGGGTGATGTCCCTGAGCTTTTGTGCTCAAGGCTAGCGCCCTACTACATGAACCACAGCTCCACTCTGGCTTTTTTGGTGGTTCATTGGAGATGAGAGTCTTACAGATTTTCCTGCCTGGATTAGCTTTGAACCACTATCTTCAGATCTTAGGCTCCTGAGTTGGTAGGATTATAAGTGTGAGCTTTTTGCTTAATGTGGCTCTTTTCTTCCCATAATTGTCCAGGTAATATGATGATGTGATTATGACAAGAGTCCATACAGAATGTAGAAGGCATTGGGTGCATGGTAAAATTACCCACATAGGACCTAATGATGAGTCATTGCTGTTCCCTGAGAATGGAAATGCCCTGAGTCCAATCAGCAGTAGAAAGCATATTCTCCAGAAGATGGACCCCATCTAGATTATATTGGTATTGTGGTTAAAAGACAAAGGCAAGGATTTGAGCTGTAAATTGAAGATTTTATAGAGAAAAAAAAGTTTGAGCAGCATGTTTTAATTGTACTTACTAATGGAGTTCAGAGTGACATTTCAACATATGCATTATTGGACAGTCTGATCAAATCCAGCCTTGTCTTATCCACCTTCACTCCCAACACCTTCCTAATTTGGTATTTTATTCTATTTTATATTCAGGACAACTTTTTAATTTTTGAATTTCCAGATATGAAAGAAAAGATGTGGTGTTTACCTGGTTTATTTCACTTAACATAATGTCTTCCAGTCCCACTCATTTTGCTGCAAATAATGTTTCATTCTTTGTCACTGGATATTGTTCTATCTAGTATATATGAAAAAACATACATACTAAGAGGATTTTCTTACGGGAGGATTATTAAAAGCATGTGATTAAAATTTAGAATTAAAAAATTGTCACTGGTAATTTACCTATAAGAATGACAGGATTTTCTGGGTTAGAACGAGGTATCACATAGTCTTGGCATCTACCCTAAGGGACTGGTGTGGTCTGATTTGTTCTTACGGCACTACAGGAATCAGGTTTTAATTTCTGAGTCAGAGAACTTCACTCTAAAGAAAACAGCACCAATGTTCATTAACTCACGGTCACATAACCAAGAAAGAGTGTGCTACAAATAGATCCTGGATCTTATAAAAGTTCTCCTTTTCCTTTCTGGAATCCTTAAAATATATGGGTGCTAGATGAGTTTATTTTAGTTCAATTATCTCAGAGTAAGTTTCTCCAAAATGCTCTAGCTAGATTCCTCCCCTTCCCTCCACAGGAGTCCTAGGGCTTGAACTCAGGGCCTGGGCACTCTACCACTTGAGCCACAGTGCTCCTTCAAGTTTTTTCTGTTCATGTGATACTGAGGAATCAAACCCAGGGCTTCATGCATGCTAGGCAAGCACTCCACCACTGAGCCACCTTCCCAGCCTCCAGCTAGATTCCTGTCACATGAGCACCCTTACACACACACAGGGCCCAGAAAAGATTTGTCAAGGGACCCAAGAACGATTATCAGAGTATAGTAAAAAGAAGCAGAGACAAATATCTTTCAGAAGATAGGTGTGTGTGTGTGTGTGTGTGTGTGTGTGTAAAAAATGGATCCATCAGCAAATAGTTTCCAAATCCCATATGAACAAACCCCTCCATGAGGATGATTGGTTATATAATGTGCCTTTCTCTCATTAAGGTCATCTTCAAATACAGTATTGATGCAAGGTAACACTCTACCGATCATTGGGAAATTAATGAGGCATCCCCAGGAAGCCTATCTCTTCTACCCTAGAAGGAAATGAGGCCACTTGGAAAAGGAAGTGAGAAGCCCTGTGACCCCACACAACCTCCCAGATGCCCAGGGAAGCATAGCCAATACACGAATCTGAACCTCAGATGCCATGCTGAGAGAGAGACTCTAATGTGGCATCAGAATCGCCCAGTCAGAGCCACGCCCTGATTCTCATCACAGCTGTCCAAGCTGTTCTTGGATGGGATGAACAAAGAAGAGGCCAACGGAGCAGGGCCTCAGCTAAGGTCATAGGAGTGGATTTGGTGGCTGGACTCTCACTGCTGAACCAAATTGAACTTGGCTAGAATGAATGCAGGTTCAACTAGAACTTCATTTGATGACTCCTTGTTCCTACTTTTCCCAACAGGCCGTAAAACTTGGAGTAATTCAGACACACTGATCTTGCATTTAATATTCGCCTGGAAATGACTGATTATAAAGTAACCAAATCGAGAGTTAGAGAACACCAAGTTCACCAAAACATACTAATGAGTCTTTAACATAGTTGGCTGTAAACATGCTCTGTTTTTGAAATGAATAAAGTGTGTATGTGTGGGGGAATGGTACCTTGCAGCCTATTTCCAATGCTTTTTATGCTCCCAAATATCCATTTAATCACATTCCTGAGAAGGGTGACTTTCCTGAGGCCTAGAAAAAACTGGCACTCACAGCTATTTTCCCAGCCACATTTACTCCTTGTTACCGAGAATGTCCAGCTGATACTCCAGGGACTGTGTCTCACCTGAGATTCCCTTTGGTGGCATGCATTTATTTTATGCTCATTATGTTGGGCAAAATTCTATTGGACATTTAATCCAACAACCCATAAGCGAATTCTGCAGCCCTTGTTTAACTTTTGGCTGCAAGTAACTCCTCTGCATAGAACTAGGAAAGTCTATGAGCCAATAGATAAATATCCACAGTTGACTTATTATCATATTGCTTTATTTAATAAAAAAATTAAAGGAAAATTTCTAGGCACAGTGGCTCACGCCTGTAATCCTTGCTACTTAGGAGGCTGAGAGCTGAGAATCATGGTTTAAAGGCAAGCCAAGCAGAAAAATTCAAGAAACCCTTATCTCCAACTAACCAGAAAAAGAAATCCAGAAATGGAGTGATTCAAGTGGTAGAGTGTCAGCCTTGAACAAATAAGCTGATCAAGA